GCAGAGGCAGAGTATCGGGCATTGGCACTTGGCACATGTGAGATTATCTGGCTACGATCGATTCTTGACGAGTTGGGTTTTTCAGTGACCTCTCCATCCACATTATATTGTGATAATCAATCTGCTATTCAGCTCGCTTCTGACTCTGTACTACATGAGAGAACGAAGCATATAGAGATCGATGTTCACTTTCTTCGGGAGAAGGTCAGCAGTGGTCTTGTTACTCCATCGTTTGTGGGGACCAGTGATCAAGTTGCGGATGTTTTTACCAAACCTGTCACTCTGTCTGTTCTTCGGGACTCCGTTGTCAAGCTTGGCTTAGTTGACATTTTTGCGCCTAGCTTGAGGGGGAGTGTTGGAGTATAGATAGTCTAGGTTTATTAAGATTTCTCTTTCCTAGGTTTATTAGGATTTCTTTTCCCTTTAGGATTTCTTTTCCCTTTTTTACTCTTACTATGATTTTTATATTTTGCCTATATATACGGGGTTTTACTCTTAATTTGAGTATCTCCTTTTACTCACAATTATTTCAAGTGTTTCTAGTCAGAATGTTTAGTTTCCATTAATAATATTTTCTGGAATGCCTCTGTTTCTGGTTAGAATGTTTAGTCTTCTCATCAGTCTCCTTCAATTTGATCTTTAGAAGCATGAGAAGATCTTGCAAAATCTAACCGTGCCATATTGATCTTACTACTACTCTTTTCACAAGCACGTGAATACACTAGCGCTGCGTTTGGTATGTGGAATTAAGGGTTGGAAATGGAATATGCATCTGATCTCTCTTCTCTTTTTCTCGCATCTTTTCTTCTTACTCACAAACGCCATGGCACTCCATCCCTCTCCTCATGCCCTCTCAATTACTTTCTGCCTCTGCCTCTGCCTCTCTGTGAAGCATGGGTACGCATAGGTGGCCAGGAACAACTTATACGAGCTCAGATTCGACCAATTCAGGTAATTACTCGTTAAATTTAGTCAGTAATTCTCAAATCCTACCTAGAATTTTTTAGGTTTTAGGATTTTTTTGCTGTTTGAAATGTGAGTCTATCTCTTAAAAACACTTTGCTTCAATTTTTCAAATCGGTTTTTGTCCTTTCGAATTCGAGACATGGCAGTAGATCTTTATGCATATGAAACCAATCACACCTGTAGTTGGTGAATCATGACTCCTAAACTACCAGTAGGCATGACTCCTTGGATCAGAATCCTATAAAGAATAAAAAAGGATTAAATAAATGATTTAGCAGTCAAAAACAAAGATTACGAATAGTATTGTCAAGAGAAAGAAAATCCTCCTTACCCCCCCCCCCCCCCCCCCCCCCCCCCCCCCCCCCCCCCCCCCCCCCCCCCCCCCCCCCCCCCCCCCCCCCCCCCCCCCCCCCCCCC